GTAATTTGAAATAGTAAACGTTTAGATGATTATTTGGAAAAGTTGGAGTCGTAAATAAATCGTGACAGTGTTATTATTTAAGCCTTCCCTCAAAAATTGGAAATTTCGAACATCAATATCCATAGATACTATTCCATAAAACTCGATCAGATATAATAACCAAATTATTTGGAATGAAATCCAAATAGTATTTTCGCCCACGTCTGGAAAATTATCAAACTTCTGTCGAATAAACTGAAAAAAGGATTATTCTTCCTTTTCCATATCAAATTACCGATTAAATAAACTACAGCAAGAATAACTAATTGGTTCTCTCCACACTGAAGGGTCTATCAAAATAATTCTGCAAAGAAAAAAAAATCATCTTGACATTAGAATATCTGTCAAATAAACTACAAAAAAATGGTTGCAATTTTTGACAACCAGACCAAAAAAAATATCTGCACACTAGGGGTCGGTTGTACCAAACTTTGTTAGTTGTTCTATTCTAGGGTCAAATTCGTTCTTGCCTTATGGGCTATCTGACTGTTAACTAATAGTTTAGCTAACAAAAGCTGGTGCAACTGGTTCCGAAAGGGTCTATCAGATAAACAGAGACAAAAAAAACAAAATAAAGTGAATTCTCCATATGAAATCAGTAATGATGGGAAAGAAAAGTTATTATCATTTTCCCATACAGAAACAACCGTCTAATAAACAAAGGAAAAAATTCTTCTCTCATGAGAACTGAATTTATCAAATGAACTCATGATTAGAAATGAAATAAATAAACGAATGCGTCCCTAATAAGCAATTTAGCAAATAAACTATAAAATAAACAGTTAAACTCATCTTCACACAAATCATAACAGAACTTCTGCTAAATCGTCTATCAAACAGACTTGAAAAAAAAAAAATCTCCATACTCAGGAGTTCCTAATTAGTCATACGACTTTCCTTTGATTCAGTGAGATCGCTCGTTATCCTCCTAAATCAACTCAATATAAATATATATCAACTTTGCATAAATTTTCTATTTTCTATCAAGTACCATGTAGCCTGTCATTCCTCTAATCGAGACTCTTAAACCCCTTTCTCCTTATTGCTCTTGAATCCCAGCAGCAGCAGCAGCAGCAGCAGCAGTTGCTGCTCTGTCTAAGGCCCTGAGCTTAGTTAGTTTGACATTTATTGCTCGATTCATCTCTGTGGTATTGAAAGAATTTGGAAACTCTCTCCTAACAGTCACTGCAAACATATATGAGGATAAAAAAAAAGAACACATCGAGGAACATATGAGATCATTATTTACCAGAACAGACAAATTACCTGCAACTGCCTCTAAGATACGAGCATCCAATTTACTGTGTCTGGGAGGATTTTCTTCCCGTTTCCTTATTTTGCTTGCACCTCCTTTAACATTGCTGATAAGTAGAACGTCAGGATCGAACAGAGCGAGTACTAGATTGGTCGCCATACCTGTGAAGGTTCTCATGTCTTTTGCTGCATTCCATTGAGTCATTGTCACTCTCACACCACTGCCCCTCTGTCCAAGCTCGACCTAACAAGTTTTCAGTATTTATTTAAGTGTTCAGTATTTATTTAACTGATAGGAAGTATCACAATGGAATAGACAATGGAGAGAAAAGAAGAACCTTTTGTGGAGCAACGGAAGACTATTACAGAATTGACTTTGAAATACTATTGACTGGTGATTGATAGTATTTTTAATACAAGAGGGTCTGTGAAATATTGAAATCGAGTGAATTCATGATTCCTAATTTTAATTACTAAAAATTTGGATGAGAATAGAAGAGATACCTACTCCAATGAAGAATATACGTAATTTGACAAGTAAAAGGCATTCTGTACGGGAATATCTGTATAATTCCGATACAATTGTCATTTTCAGCATAGAAATTATAGTGTGATGTATTACCGTATCAGCATTCTGTTCTTGAGGTTGCTGTCATCGTAAATTCTCTCGGAGCAAATCCTCCAGCTCAAATAATCGTTCAAGCCTCTGATTATCTGATTTGATCAAAAATCACTAAGTAAATCAACGGAAATTATTAATACAATTAATGAAAATAATAAAAGTTACCATGAGGATTTGGAAGAGGCTCGTTCTGATCATTGGGTGGGATAGGGTGGATGGGATTTCCAACTCGGACTTGGTTGCCAAGGCCTCCTACTGGGATTTGATTGTTGAGACCTCTGATGACTGCAGCCTGGTTCTGGCGAGCTCGAAGAGGTGTGTGTAAGTCGTTCTCTTGGATGCTGTTCCCTGGGGTTCCATCCTGTTGAATGGTGACTGTCTCGTCAGCTACTGATCGATCGTCGTCAGAAGTGTCTTCCTCTGATGAGGAGCTGCTATTGAACGTATCAGAATTATCCTTGCTCTTCTAAAATTTCAATAATATGAGGAAAATGCGTTTAGTTGAATCCCAGAGGAACTACATCTCGTAGGAATACTGAATATATGTTGATTATAATTCTTCAATGAATTTTCAATATTATTGAGAGATTTCTGACAGCTGCAAAAAAAAGTCTGACATTTTATCCCGAAACTCCTCATTGTCTCGATGATCACTGGATTGACGTGATAATATTTCCAATCAATTTTTGACGGATATCAAAATCGTTAATTGATCAGGAGTTATTTTCATAACTTTGAAAATTCAGATTTTTACCTTACATTTATTAGCATTTGCGGGGGTGACAGAGGCTCGCTTCTGTCCCGAAATACTAGGCTGTGACGGAGAAGGTGATGAAGCTCCTGTACCTCGAGGTAGCAAACGTGGAGATTTAGGATAAACATAATTTTCGCTCTTCCTCTCCAGTACTTGAACGGTAGCTAGAGATGCAAACATTAATGGAAAATAACGTTAGGAAACTGATGTGCGAAGGGGAGGAACAAACAATTCAATACGTGGTAGTTTGAAAATTTTCAGGATATACTTGCGACGTCCAGTACCACCCCATCATAAATGGGCCATCCTCCAGGTGGTTTTTTCCCTGCAGTTCGCCATTGGACTGCATATGCCAGGTCAGGATTGAAATTTTCAGAGAAAAACTCCTTATAATCGAACCTTAAGATACATTCGAGTGGTACCCCCACAGGAATTTTGCCGTCATCTTCCCCACCGACCCATTTCACTGTGGCAAAGGGTGGTTTTGGCATTCTGGGGAGAAATTCAACTCATTAGAAACAGATAGCTGATTGAAAAAAATCGATAACAGGAATTTCCGATTCATGTAATGATCATGAAAAATTATGACATTCATATTTTCATTTCTGGTGAATGAGGAGTGAGAAAAAAGCAAATGATTCGATGACTGTTTGTCGGAAGTACATTTGCAACTTGCTGCGATTAATTGGAAAAAATGATCAATACTTACTTGCAACCTTCCTGTGATCACGATAAACTGTTAAAAATTCACTCTAAGACAACGAAATTCCAGTGTGCACAATGGCAACGTAAAGCACGTTCTGACACGTTGATGAGGTTATCGAGAATTCCATAACAAAAATGGCGGAAGTACAACTACAGTCACTGCAGCTTCCATGAACTACATTCCAATGTATACGGGTAATATAGTAATGGATCAATTTTTGAGACGAAAAATTAAATGATTGTTGGATAATAATAGCAAAAAATAAATGGAAACGATACCGTTACACACTTCGTAGTCTGGAAAAAGAATTTTTTGGAAGAAATGTGATTGAAAAGATTGGATTTGATGAGGTTAGTTTCACAGTGTCTCACCGCGCGCAAGGCAAACGACTCCCATTGGTTCATGCCTCACAGTTACGTTCCCGCCTCGGATATATCCGGAAGTGAACAACCACACATGCATTTTGATCTTACCGAATCCGTGTCATATGAGAGTATCGAGAGTGTAAATTCCAATCATCATTTGTGCAGTAATAATAATTCGGTAAATAGTGGCTTAAAGAATCAGTGAGCAATGAATCGTCAATTTGGGATCCGGAAAAGATACAAATTATATACCCTGTATGGTAACAATAGTGGTGTTCCTGCTCGAACTAAAAGTCGCTGGGTGATGAGAAGGAAAAGTGAGAGGTTAGTTATTTCCTAATTTAAAACTTGTGCTTTTCAGTTGATCAAATCGACCGCATTCAATAGACAAAATTTATTGTTTTACATTGATTGTTGCAGGACATCATTTTTTGTGGAGAATAGTGGACAAGGGGAGGATTCTCTGAGTGGGGCGGTGAGCATTATATCTACATTTCATCAAATGACCATGGACATTCCTGTAGTTGGCTTCATAACATTGACTTTCGAATTATTAGCATACGGAAAAAAAACGTGAAGAGCTTTTTCTCTATATATGTCAATTTTCTATGGAAAATGTACCATGACGGTACAAAATGGTTGTTATTGACTTCATCAGTACACATGTGACGAGACTCTTTTTGTGGAAAATTGCCTGCTTAACAACGAAGATGTCTTGACATTCAATCCTCCAAGAACTCTGGAGGAGGATAATTTCATCATATTTTCATCATTTCGACTCAAGTGTTATTTTTTGATGAATTATTCAATGAATTGAGATAATGAGATTTATGTTGATATTTTAGTAGCAGAGTAATGAGCAGTGAAAAGTTGAATCTGGTTTAACATTCCTCTTCATTTCCCCTGTATTTTATCAATGGAGAGTTCCAGAATTGCAAGAAAGAATATCTTTCGACACTTCCTGTCAAAATTCATGTTTACCGACATAATTTGATGATGTAGTAATGACATGTAACTGTTTCAGTGAAACGTCAGAATCTCAAATCATACCTAATTGTGCACTCATCTCATTTATAATTGATATGGAGTACAAGCCTCAAAAAATTCTTTTTGTGACTACGATGATAGTTGGGTTTCCTAATCATCGTTCATTTATCAATTCAATTCTATAATTATTATAAAAATAAATTGATATTACCATCTTCAATCATTCATCCTTTTTCATGATTTTCATTACCCGGATTTTTACAGCCTTCTGAGATGAGCGATAACTTCGCAGATTCATCCGATGATTCTTCAGCAGACGAGGCGGGAAGAGGGGATCAATTGTTTGATGACCATATCGATGATTTAGCAAGCAATACAATCGATAGTGATAATTCAAGTGAGGACACCGACGAAAGTGAAGACGAAGTTATTTTACCAGGTGAAGAAACTCCTCTCACTCGAGCCAATACCACTCACTCTATCTTACCTCCATCTTTGTCTGGATACTCAACAGAAGAATTGATAGCTACAATAATAGCCCTGGCTATTAAGTTACGACATAATTTCTCCTATGCAGCAACGGAAGATGTTCTGCTATTAGCAAAAGTATTAACCAATGCAAGAATTTCACATTCTTCAAAATATGATTGGAAGAAAATTTCAAATAGTCTTTGCGATTATTTGTCAATTCATCATTTCTGTGGAGAATGCCAGAGTTACATAGGGAAAGAAGTTGGACAATCTGGAGCCGAACCAAATGTTCTAACGTACCCCCGGTGTCATCAGGTGACTGACACAACGACTAATTGGAAAAGTGGAAATGTCGTTCTGTATATAAATCTGAAGGAATAAATACAGTACTTTTTAGAATTGAATCATGATAAATTGATCAACGAACCGGAAAAAATCGAATAAATATGCCATCGAAGACATTTTTGACGGTACAATGTATAAAAAAATTGTTTCCAGTGATACCATCACTATAAATTTTAATGTCGACGGTACACCTTTTTCAAGAGCTCTTCAACGTCGCTCTACCCGGTTCTATGTACAATCAATGAGATACCACCTCGAGAAAGAGCAAAAAATATAATTTTATGTAGTTTATGGTTTGGAAAAGGAAAACCCACAGATATGAACGAAATGTTGAAGCCCTTTGTAATTGAACTGCAAGATCTGAATTCATGTGGTCTGGAATATGAATATCAGGGAAATGCATATCATAAAAAGTGTCAAGTTTTAGTATGAATTTGTGATTCTGTTGCTCGACCTGTCGTAAGGAACAGCCATCAGTTCAACGGAGAGTGGGGCTGTGGTCTTTGCCTCCATCCCGGAGTTCGAGTACCCAAAGGTCGTGGTTCTGTCAGAGTGTATCCAATTGATGCCAATGGGAATCCATTCGGAGAGGGTCTTCGAAATCATTATGAAACTCTGAATCATGCTAGGAATGGAGAAAAGGGGATGAAAGGTCGATCTGTCATGTATGATGTCCCGGGTGTTGATGTAATTGATNGGGATGAAAGGTCGATCTGTCTTGTATGATGTCCCGGGTGTTGATGTAATTGATGGTCTTGTGGCAGATTGGATGCACCTAGCGACATTAGGTGTAGCAAAACAATTTTGCAAACTGTGGTTGGATCCAAAATACCGTGGTGAACCATTCTTCTTGGGGCAACATGAGGCTTTGATAAATAGTATACTCGAATCATTTACTCCAATGCTAGAAATTTCTAGGACAACCCGAAACATTGGTGAACGGAAATTCTGGAAAGCGCATGAATGGAGCATCTGGTTATTGTTCTATAGTTTACCTATTCTTAAGGAAATTGCTCCACGAAAATACGTCGAGCATTGGGCATTACTCATGGACGGAATGTCCATACTCTTGAAGACTTCTATTATGCCCTCTGAGGTGGAATATGCACGTCAGTGTCTATATGAGTTCGTGAAAGGAGTGAGAGAGTTATATGGCCTTGAACATATTTCTTTCAATGTCCACCTACTCACCCATTTACCAGACAGCGTCCTGCAATGGGGGCCCCTTTGGACGCACAGTGCATTCATTTATGAATCTTTTAATTTCCGTTTGAAAAATTGTGTCCACAGTTCCAGTGGCGTCCCATTGCAAATTTGTGATTCCTTTCGATTTCAAATTGCAGTTATTAAATTGACGAATATATGCGAAGATAGTTTGAGTCACTCTCAGAGGAATTTCTTATCAAAAATGTTGCATACGAAGATTTTGCCAAAAGTTTCTCAGCGGTTTAATGACGTTGGTGTTTTCGGTAGTGTCCAGCGAATTGCCACTCTCAGTCGGCCGTATTATCTAGCTTTCAGAAGACTTGATATTGACGTAGAAAATGTCAGAACTATTGAACTTGCTATAAGAATGCTGATCAATGGCGAAATGGTTCATTCGAAACTGTATAAAAAACCTCAAAAGCGAAAGAGTTACATTGTATTATCTAGGGATCAAGAAGTGTTCGAGATAGAACAGTTTGTAATTCGTTCCCATCTGAATTCTCGAGAATGTTATGCCGTAGGGTACTATTATAAAAAAATTGATTCACCATTTTCTAGAAATCCCAGATTATCGCACTTGAAATTCGTAAAGGACCGATATGATGACATAGCTGTTATAAATGTCCATGAGATTCAGGAGAGAGTGACACTACTGCACTTGCCGAAACATGAACTTTCAATTGCATGCATCCACCCCAATAAATACGAATCTTGGAAGTAATACATGGAAAAGGAATAATAAATAAAATAGATATAATTACGCATCAATTTTCATCCCTCACCCTCCTCCTTCCTTCAAATCTCGACTTCTCATCATAAACGGGAGAATTCTTCCCTCTTGTTATCCACATCTGACTTGGGTAACGAAGTGGTAAACCATCTCAAGTCAATGGCTAATGTTTATGGATAGTTCATTTATCTTGGGAACGAATTGTCAAAACACTTTTTATGCGGCTAACAAAATTTACTACAAAACATAGCCCTTGACATTCTTTCCCAAAATTACTCATAACCTAAGTAATTAAATTGATTACGAGATGTAAGAATTCTCCTGTTATTTTACCATTGAACTACTTTGATGATAGAAGGATTAACTTCGTCAAATATCCATTAAATATCCGATTATCTTGATAAGTAACAATTACTTCGAAAGAATTTTAGTATATTCAGAGTAAAAGATATATATGTTCAGGCCCACATATATGAAGGATATATATTGTATATAATCGACAAATTTTCTCGTTATATGTGACATTTTTGTGATTTTATATTTTGGATATTTCTCAGGTATATTGAGCATATGATTGACATATATATTGCTGCTACGTAGACATATTAATGATTATACATATGGGATATTATGTAGTTATATCGAAATATATATGTAGCATTCAATTATAGAATATATGTTTTTAAGGGCCCCGAATATACGGGACATATGCGGGATAAGTAATTTAAATATTTCTGGGATATATTGCAAAATATATCATCAGTATATCTTTAGATAGAAAACGACATATATCTGAGATAGATTTAGCTTATTGCATTTTTGGCCGAAATATATCCTATATGATGGATATATGATCTGCATATATCCATCATATACTTCGACATATATATTTTTTCCGTGCGGGTTATACCACTTGGAGGGCTCACCTGAAAACTAAGATTTCAGAATACGATTTCGTAGTGTACCACCGAACGGGAAAGACGAAACAAGTCGCTTCAGCTCTGGCTTACAATCCAGATAATCCGCCGACTACAGATGCCGAAGCGTCGTATCGTGCCTTGCCTTATAATAGAGCAAAATTACCAACTAGGCCAAGAGCTAATACTCTCGCAGACCCAACTGGATTAGATCCACCCACCCATCCTCGAGGTAGACCAAGGAAGAATCCGACGATGGACCCATCAACGTCGAAGGTGCCGCCCGAGAAGGGAAAGCCCCCTGCAGAACGGTCTCAGCCAGCGAAGACGCGACCGATAACCTCAAAATCAGTAACGACCCGGTCTGCTGAGACACCAGGAAATACCGGTAGCTAGCAGATTGAGGGCACGAAGAGCGGCCCAGCTATATCCGAAGCGATCAAAACCAACACCTGAACCAGAAATCGTGGATAATCCCGAAGACGAGAATCCGTCAGAAGAATCCGAGGAAGAAGAACTCGTACCTAATCCGCCACAGTCTGTTAGGCCTGCGACACCACCACCACCTAAATATGATGATACAGATGATGATGAGGTGTTCGAAGAGCTACTACCTCCCGAGAACGAAGCGATCGTAGAAGTGAGGAAAAACCCTAGGGAAGATCCAGATTCCGAAGACTCTGAAGAAGACGAACCGCCTCTGTCCTTGCCAACTGACGAAAATCTCCCCGTATCCTCCCCAACAACTTCGAAGGGATCAACACCAGCTGAGCCCCAAGCGTCAACCTCGTTTCGACCATCACCTAGCTTTCTTGACTCAATGAAACATGCATTCGGAGAGCTAGACAAATGGAACCGCAGTAAAGGAATCCCAGAGGATATAGGATTCGAAGGAGAAAGAGAAGCTGAAGGTCAAAGCGAGGATGCGGAGAACTCCGAGGAATCAGATAACGACGAGGGGGAAGCCCCACAAGATCAGCTGACTATTGGGACACGAGCAAACAATAGAGGAAAAAGAATTGAAAATCTTTTAGAGAGGTTAATACAGATGCAAGAGAGTCTACATGCTAACTTGACGAGGCAGAACAAATTGGAGTCCTCTCAATTTTACGAGAACAAAAACGCAAGGCTCGAAACTCAAGTTCCACCGACAGATGAGCCCCAATCCTCATCGTCGTCAACTGGGAAGAAAATCTCGGAAGTATCGACTCCCGTGGTCTTGAAACGGCCGACATTGCCGCCGACTTCCGTCATCCCTACCAGAAGCAATCGAATTTTCCTTATGCCGACGCCTCGGTCGGCCATGAATCCCATTGCTAAGTCGAGTCCTATAACGAGTGGACAACCTTCTATGACTACATAAAAACCGAAGATAAAAAGAATCCGATTCTCATTGCCGCCCGCGACTGAACTAGGTGATGCGGAGCGCAATTCTCCGATCACGGGTGGTGGGGGTGCTAGACCTTCCCCTGTGACCGGAACTATTAATCCATCGGCTGATGGAGGAGTCTGCTTAGAACCGACCTCGGATCCTGAGAAATTCAGCGACATTTACCCGGCAGAGAATCCGAACATCGGCCCCGAGTTGGAGCCTACGTTGATCGAGACCAATGACGGGCTTACTTTTCAACGAGACAATTTGGTTCATTTTCTATCAGCTGACTGCAAGATCAATAGCTCCGTGTCAAAACTCATTCAATCCGTGAGCTACATCGACACTCGAGAACTCAGACGATATAATCCGAAGATCGGAGAAGTTTTAGTTACACCCGCCGGGAAATATAGGACTTTTACTGTCATTGTGAAGTCACATAATTCGCAGAAACTCTATATTCAGGACGTACTGCTAGGCCTAACGCGGTAACGTGAGGCGATAGAGCACTATCGAGTTACGTCCTTTCGGATAGCCACACTCGGGGACGAGATAGGAAAATTGGATGTGAGGCCTTTACTCGAGGAAGTTTTCGAAGGATTTCAAGTAAGAATTGTTTTATGTCAAGGGAAGGTAAAGTGCCCTAATTAGGAGTTACATACGGGAATAATTCACGAAGCCCACGACAGTTTAGTGGGAGGACACAAAAGTGCGATAAAAACTTGCCGCCGGATTCGCGAGCGTTTTTACTGGCCCGGTATAGTACAACAAGTCACCGAGTACGCCATTGTCGCGTCTGCCGTTAACAAAAAGCTTCGCGAATCAAGACGTGCCAACGCATGATTATCACGAACACTCCGCTCGAACCTTTTGAAAGAGTAGCAATCGACACCGTCGGGCCGATTAGGCTAACCCCTGTGGTAATGTACACGTTCCAACTATCCAAGATTCACTAACGAAGTATTGCATTGCCGTGGCATTACCCGACATTCGTACCGAGACTATCTCAACGGCCATAGCTAGCCATCTCTACGCAGTATACGGGGCCCCGAAGTTACTTTTGTCTGATAGAGGTACGAGTTTTACTAGCAAACTTTTTGCTCAGGTCAACGAAATTTGCAGGGTAGATCAGATAACAACCTCAGGATACCGACCGCAGACCAATGGGTCGTTGGAACGCAGTCATTGAGTGCTGCTTGACTTTATACGAGCTGTGATGAAAGACATAGAGGAGTGCGATCTATTATTGCCATTCGCTATGTTTTCCTATAACACGTCAGTACATTTGGCGACTGGTTTCACACCCTATGAACTCGTGTTCGGTCGGAGGGCCCGCGCTCCAACAGCATACCCCGACGAACGAGACTTATAGAGGTATCACGACTACATCGTGGATCTGGTAAGTCGTCTAGACAATATTCAAGTCGTAGCAGCGGACAATCTTAACTAAGCGAAACGTAAGTCTGAAGAATATTATGACCGTGATGCGCATCCGGTAGATTTTCAGACTGGTCAGTTCATCGATGTTCTGAACGAACCCAGAAAAGGGAAGGCTTGATAAATTTTACAAATTATCCTACGAAATAATTGATATAACCGAAAATGGTAATCTTATTCTCGAAGATGCAGAAGGTGCGCGACATCGAAGGCACCCGAGCAAGGTCAAATTAGCGCCCGAATGAGATCTATCCCGGTTCGAAGAGATTCTAGAAATATCCTTAATTACAAGTATGGGGAATTCCTTCTGTCTATCACGAAAATATCAAATTACTAGAATCTATAAACGTAAACCAGGATGGTTCTTAATGCTCACCTCACTCTAAATTCAGATGAATTGTATTAAAATGTTAGGAAACAGCGTGACGGAAATGTCGAAGCCCGTCAGCGAGTCATCGAGTTACTGGGCGTGATCTGGCTCTGTGCATCCGTAACCCGGAGTGACGGATTGCCGTCATACACTTCACCCAAAGATGAGGCCCCCTTTACCTTGAAATACATCAACAACAACCCTGGCATTTACTATGAGTCACTGGAAGACATTCAGCTAGTGCGCAAAGAATGGCGTATCGTTACGAGTATCGATTTGATAAGTTTCCATCGGCAAATCGATAAAATAGCTAGCTCATCACAACGCGATGCTCGACAAGTGCATAACGATCATCGACAAGGAAGAATGTGAAGAGATCTCCAAACTGAATTCCATCGAAACGAAAAAAATACAGATTATACAGTTGAATCGCCACTTAGATGATCTCTTTACCGCCCGAAAAACGAAAGCCATTGATCTACGAGGACGTCGCGTGCCTCCACTTGCCATCATTGGAATTTCGCACACGCTCTTCACCCCGGAACAAATACCCGATGTAGCTGAGAACATCAAGTCAGTGCATCCGGAGTTGGAGTTCCCAATACCGACGGGAGCAACAGATTATGCGGCATTATCCAAAGTCAGCACTATCCAGGTCGCTCATGCTAGAGGAAAGCTTTTGGCAGTCATTACTTTGCCATTATTAGGTCGAGAAACTTACCATGTCTACCGACTTCATCCATGCAAAAGGCCCCAAATCGTCGGAAATCGAACTCTGTCAGCGCATATAACACCGAAGAAGCCCTACGTAGTCCTTGCCGAAGATCGAGACCATTATGCCCTCTTGGATCAGCACGACGTAGAGCAATATGCACCTCTAGGAATCCGACTGGTCTGTGCGCCCCGTTTTTAGACAACGAAACATAATCACGTGAAGACCGGAAATCATTGATATTCCGTCCTTCACGGGGGGGATGTTGTGTACAGAATTTTGAAAATCCTGATGATTTTATTCCGACTTTTATTCGGTTCTAAAGCTGTCGTTTAGCGGCTAGCGCGAGGCAAAATGGGTTGGAATCAGCTCATGTTTGTAACCCACACCTTCTAATCACGCTCACCTATTTGCACGTGTGCCCGGGGAGTGATGACGCAAGCATCCTCGTCGAGCGCATCGCAACACGGTGACGCCCGAAAAGAAGCCAGTCACGGCTATATTGTCGCCGAATTAACATAATCATTGGCTCCTGCGTTATTCCTCTCGCTACCCCAACGCCGAGTTCGCTACCCTTAATCTTGGATTCCCAACCGATCGGTAAACTGTGCGGAGTGAAAACGAGTGATTTTCGCAGTAATAATTCCTTCAAAGACACACGTCAATTACGCCGATCTTCGTAGACGTGTTACGGAGCATATCATACACCTCGAGTGTCCCTGATTGCACTCATTTTATTTTGATATTTCGAAGGCTTTCGACTCGTATTTGTGAAATTTCAGGTTTGTGAAGTTAAAGTTTAGTGATCGGTACCTCATCATTTTTACTGTGAACTTAAAATTACGAAAAGCGAAGACAAATTAGGCATCACAAATTTAAACACTCAAATCGTGAAAGAACTAGGAAAAATCCGAAAATATATTTTGAGAGTGAAACTTTTCTGGTGAAAATTTGGAACAATTTAATTTAAAATTTGGATACGATTTCTTCCGATCACCCGCCGTTGCCGACGGCCTGAAGCAGACGAGCCGAGAGGAGTCCAGAGGGAACTCGACCTCCAGTCGGGAATTTAATAATCAGCTGTAACCTTTTCAAATCGGGGTGAGCTTATTTAAATTTTTATTAAGGAATAAAATCACCGACTTGCCTCAACGCGACGAAACTAAACCAAAATAACCGAGATCGAAAATATTGCGAAATAGCATCAAGGCCGATTCTCTCTCGGTCTCCTAAATTAACTACTGATTTTTTTGAATGTTCTTAATTCTTACAATCCTATATATAAAATGATTTAATCGATATGTCAATTTTCATTTTGTGAAAATTTGAAAGATATCTGTCATTGGGTCAATAAATATTCTATCGGGGAATTTCGAGAGTTTCATTCGACTTTAGACATAGTAATCAAAACCCAAAATATCAATGCCATTTAAAATATAATGAGATCTGACTCGCACGAGACGACGCAAGGAATGTGTTCAACACTTTAAGATAGGATCCATAAGAAATCAGTCATCTCACGCAAGGACACTGTAAGTCATGTGATAGTTGATTTAATTAATTTATTAACGGCATAAAATAGACCGCCGTCTGATTTTATAACATTTACTTGGAACGAAAACCGACATTGTCACGGGGGTAAAAACACTTGTTGCTTAGATTTCCACCAAATGTCACGTAGTGCGTTTGACAGCTGGCATAAAGTACCATCGAATACAAGTGTTGCCATTTATTAGTGCACGTAAGCAATACTAAAAATGACATCTGTTGGAAAAGGGCGGAGTGATATTCGCACACCTAATAAGTGGTATTAAAACTATTATATTCTACTTATTTCAATTTAACAATGGAATTACGTTATCCATTGTAAACATGTATGATACAGGAGTTAGTGGTAAGTTTCATATGTGATTTGCATAATTACAGCCGTTCATCGGCTGTCATTATGCAAATCACATATGATTTCCCCCTGTCAAGGGGGTCATCCCATGTGTCGAGTTGAAAAAATCGATTTTTTTACACTAATTCCATCTATATATATTGTAGAATATGTATACGAAGTATTTTTTCGATATTCGAAGTCATTCGAAAGTTATAGCAGTGAATTGGGCCAAACACTCAATACCGGATAATGGTATGTGAATTCTTCGGACGCGTTTTTCTCGAAACTGCATTTTCGAAATTGGCTGACACGATAACTCGATATCTCGTGAACGGATTTCAACAAAATTTGGAAGAGTTACTCAGTAGATGTCTATGCATCTACTGAACTAGGATAATTGCGATATCTAAACTAGTTTTTTTTTAAAGGAAATAGTCGAAAAAAAACACCAAAATTCGTAAAAAAAATTTCAAGAGCCTGCCCGAAATTCAATTTTTGATATTTTTGAAAAATCCTAGTTCAGCAGATAGCTGAACCTTCACAGATTGAGAACCCATTTTATTTTTTAATTTCAGATCATCAGCACTCTC